ACAGGCCTATAATCCCAGCTACTGGGGAGGCCAAGGCAGGAGAATCACTTGAACCCAGGAGGCGGAGGTTGCAGTGAGCCAAGATCACGCCACTGTACTCCAGCCTGGGCAACAGAGCGAGACTCTCTCTCAAAAAAAAAAAAAAATATATATATATAGATAGATAGATAGATAGATAGATAGATTCCTTGGCTGATTCTCACACCTTCTGAATCAAAATCTTTGAGGGTTGGGCCCAACAATCTGCATTTTAGCAAGCTTACCCAAGGGCTCTATATGTGCTCTAAAATAAAGCTTCCAAACACTTACTTAGATTCTGGTTCCATGAGCCCAAAGAAATTCTGTCTGTGTGTCTGCTTAACTTATCTACCTCTTCACACTCCTGGGGACTCTTCATGTTACCCCACCCCAGGGCTCTATTAAAATTTTCTGTCTTCTACCTGTGTTACAGAATGTGCCACCATGTTACAGAATGTGCTACCGTGTACCGTATTACTGTGTTGTGGCTTCTCACTCTGTATCACCGGGCCCCACCTAGCACTTGATGCAGAAGCTTACTCAATATGGGTTGAATGAATGATTATTAGACATTTCATTTACATTGTTTAGACTAATCAGTTTAACCTACAGGTTAACTGTACCCAAAAACTTATCTGAAATGTAAGTAAGCTATATTTAAAGCCTTAGAATTTAATAATGTATCCTGATTCTGTACTGAAAACTTGTATATTTGATGTATTTGATTGCTCCTAGGGGAATGCTAAGATATTACATTCTTGGCATGGTTCTTTAGTTTTAGCTTAGAGCAATAGGAAAAACTATACTTTGTCATTTGTGATATAATTTATGGATTAAAAATACTTCATTCAGCCAGAACTTATTCCAAGTCAAAGTTTTAAAACTGTGAATAGCTATCTCATGTACCCTTTAAGTTGACTTAGACTCCAGATAAATTTTCTTCTTAAAATAACTTCACTGCATAAGAAATAATAGCATACAGCACGGAACTTTGGATTTGTCCTGTAGACACCATGGTGAGTATCAAACAGTGATGTAGACTTTTGGAGTTACCTGCTCTTACTCCATGATAAAGCATTTAGAAGAGAATTTCCATCTATACTTTTTTACTTTGTGGTTTGAATAGAGATTTTCAGGCTTTGTAAAAATTGTTCTTCTCTCAAGACAGAAACAGTAAGAAAATTTAAGACTGAGACAATTTTAAAGGAAAAGAAAAAGGAACCAACTTTAGTCTCAAATTAGCTTTACCTATTTTTAGTATAAATGATAAAGCACCTTAAATGAAAATCAGTGTATCAAAAGTGCCTTAGAATTTTCAGAATTCTACTTAAATCAAAAAGAGTTTCTAATTCTTAAATACATGAAAATGCACGTACCACATAAAAGTGTTGTTTTTTTCTTTTTCCTTTCCCACTAGGGTTCTGTGATGGTGAGAATGATGGACATGGGGAAGGTATGAACTGATTTTCCCTGCCTGTGTCGGAGTGGGATGCTGAGTAGTGGACATAACCTTTCATTAGCTTCACTAATAAACATTCATGTTTTCAGGACTCCCCCATATGCTGACAGCTGCTGATTGGCTTACATTTCAGAGAGCCTCTAGAAAATTAAGGCGAGCCATGTTGAAGGCCAGGAGAAAGCAGTGTGTGGTTACATTACAAAGCTTCCTTTTTATCTAGGTCCCCACAGTCACAAGGTTGTGCAAGGAAGCAGAAGTTGTAATCACATGAAAATATGAATGAATCAATCAGTTAAGCAATTAGTTATTCCAGTAGTTTCTGCCTGTTTAGAAAGTCTTTGTTGACGTATGTAAATATACAATGTCCCAGTATGGGCCTGAAAAAAAGAAAGAAAGAAAATTAGCCAGTATGTGCCTGAAAAAAGTAAATAAATAAACAATACCAGAAAAATGTAAATTGATGGTGAAATGAATACGCAAACCTGACATAAGATGCTGAGTTTGTCAAACCGATTCAGTGTTGGAGATTTATGGAAATGACTCTCCAAGCCGTTGACAAAGGAAGGGCCCCACACAGCATTTATTCATTCAGTACCAGCTACAGTTTTCTTTTTCGGTATCTTTATAATCCAGACTTTAATTTTTGTAATCTGAAAATAAACAACAAAATTAGGTTTCTATGTCACAGAGGTGAGACTGATGGGGGACATGATGAATGAGGAGCATTTTGCAGGAGGCACAGCTCTCTATCGTCATTTTGCATATGCCTTTTCTGGGCAAGCCCTTTCAGGCTGTGAATAAAGTCACGAGAAGTTAAGACATCAATAAATATCTAATCCATTAGAACAAATTCATAAAATCACAAGAAGTTAAAACATGAATAAACATCTTATCCATTAGAACAGAAATTCGTAAAACCACAGGAAATTAAAACATCAGTGAACATCTCGTCAATTAGAACAGAAATTCATAAATGGCTTCAAGGTTGGTTGCATTCCTTCAATGCTTCAAAGAATTTCCACCAAATCTTGGATATGAAAAGGGACTAAAAACAATGAACTTTAAGAAAACAGTCCCCATTAAGGCATTGGAGTCTGCCGCAACCATATTCTTATAACCAACCTCTTTTGAGAAGTAGCCTTGAGCTGTGTGTGATGCCACCTCACTCAGCCCTTGAAACTTTTTCCAGCATCTGACAGTACCTTTCAGGGCAGTTTTTTTTTTTTTTCTTTGGAGGAGGACATGGAGTCTCTCTCTGTCACCCAGGCTGGAGTGCAGTGGCGCAATCTCAGCTCAGTGCAACCTTTGCCTCCTGAGTTCAAGTGATTGTCCCAGCTCAGCCTCCTGAGTAGCTAAGACTACAGGTACCCACTGCCATGCCCAACTAAGTTTTAATTTTTTAAATTTTTTTTTAATTTTTAGTAGAGATGGGGTTTGCCACGTTGGCCAGGCTGGTATCGAATTCCTGACCTCAGACAATCTGCCCGCTTCAGCCTCCCAAAGTGCTGGGATTACAGGTGTGAGCCACCGTACCCAGCCTTTTAGAGCAACTTTTTATGCTTGACCTCCCATTGTGTTAGTTTATAAAGGATCTCAAAACCCATTTTTTTTGTTCTGTAGTTTGCTGAGAGCCAGCTCTAGGGTCAGCATTTATCAGACACAAGAGAGACACCTGGGGACACTGACAAAGCCTGGCCTAGTTTAGCGGAAGTGGGTGCTGCCCTGGTGGTGCTGGGCAGGTTGCCTGAAGAGCACTGTATCCTTCTCTTACTCTGCTGTCAAATAAGTTAGACCCTCACCTGTACTTCATTCATTCTAGCAGTCCACGATTGTATTTATAGACTAGGTTTTGTTAACTACAAGATAAATTTATTTTAGAGTTTTTGTTTCAAACTCTTATCTCAGAATTTACTGGAAAAGTTTGAGCCCTGTTTCAGGTGCCTTCTTTCTGGGGTCCATCATTCTTGGGTACCCGGCCGTGTTGTGTGGGGCTAAGGCAGGATGGTCATGACAGTCACACTGGCACTTTGGTGGCCACTGGAACTCAACAGCATTCCTGGTTCTGAGCAGTCACCGGTGTCCCTAGCATGGAATCCCCTTCCTGACATCAGACCACTTAACTCCTGAGGGCTGGGCCTTGTTTTCTGGTTCTTTCTGAGAACAAAAAGCATTTCCTTGTTCTGTGACCCAGCATTCTTGTTTTACTTGGTACGACTGAGAGAGTTAAAGCAGAAAGCCCTGGAATGGTCCCTTCATACTGGTGGTTTTATCGCATTAAAGAGCCAGCAGCGGTCCCAGCGGCTGCCCAGCCTCAGATCCTCTGGGTTGTTGGCTCCTTTTTGTCCCCCATTTCCATCCCACAGCCAAGTAGCTTCACTACCACCATGTCTTCCAGCTAATACCCCTCTTCTCCGTCCTTGCCCATTTCATCTTTGTTGCATTATCATGGCTCTCTCCTCATCCCTCTCCTTCCATTCTCTTTTGCCATGCCTGCAGAGCCCTGTCTGCCCTGGGCCGCCTTCCTCTACATTTTACTTCCTACCATCCCTTTACTCAGCCTACACTCCAGCGGAAAATACTTGCTTTACTCTCGTCTTCCATCTCTTGGAATTCCCTTCTCCTGTGTCTCTAAGGCAGGCGTCCCCAGACTTTCTACACAGGGGGCCAGTTCACTGTCCCTCAGACCGTTGGAGGGCCACCACATACTGTGCTCCTCTCACTGACCACCAGTGAAAGAGGTGCCCCTTCCTGAAGTGCGGCGGGGGACTGGATAGATGGCCTCAGGGGGCCGCATGTGGCCCGAGGGCCGTAGTTTGGGGACGCCTGTTCTAAGGCCTCCCCCAGCGCCAGATCCAAAGCCCTCCTGGCCTCTTCCTCTTCTGCACCTCAGCGCCTCTCAGCAGCATCTACCCTTGGCTCTCTCGGGCTTCCACTCGTTTCTTCTTTCAGTGATGGTTACTTACGTGTTGCCCTTATCCACTGACTAGGATAGACTTTCTGTCAAGGTTGAATCCGGGTCTGACTCATTTCTGCAACCCCTACATTAGTGCTCAGGGTGCCTTCCCTAGTAGACAGTCCACAAATAAGTCACTTTTGTGTGTTAAATAAGTCAAACATTTTATTTGTTAAATCATTTTTTACAAAGATAATTTGTTCAGCCAAAGGTAGGTGGGATGGCTGCTTTCTTTTTTTGTTCTTGTTTTTTTGAGACAGGGTCTTGTTCTGTTGCCCAGGCTGGAGTGCAGTGGCACAAACATGGCTCAGTGTGGCCTCAGCAGTTCTCCCACCTCAGCCTCCCGAGTAGCTGGGACTACAGGTGTGAGCTACCACACCCAGCTAATTTTGAAATATTTTGTAGAGACAGGGTCTCACTAAGTTGCCCAGGCTTGTCTCCAACTCCTGGGCTCAAGTGATCCTCCCACCTCAGCTCCACAAAGGGCTAGGGTGATAGGCGTGAGCCACCGCGCCCCGCCTGGATGCCTGCTTCTCATGAAATGACTGTGCTGCCTTTTTTCCCCTTTAGTAGCGTCTTTCCCTGGCCCGCTGAAAGAAGAGAATCTGTTACATGTTCCGAAGCCACTGCCAAAACAACTGTGGGAAACCAAGGAGGTGGGTGAACAGTACCCAACTATGTTTGTTGTCACTGAATGTGTGTACTTTGGAGGTCATCAAAAAAGCCTGCAGAGGTGAAAACAAGAGGAACTTGGGGAAAAGGAGATTTGTCTGAGGACAGAGATAAGAATATACAAGGGATGACATTTCAAGTAAAAATTATCACAGTTGTGTCAGTGAATTAGTACATGGATCTCTTGACTTTCTAATTTTCATATGAATTTACTTACTCAGAAAAACCCTGCTAAGTCCCCCATATTTTACTTGTTTTGCTGAAAGCTCCGAAACCTGGTTGTAAGTCACAGGCAGATTTTTCTGGTTTTTAGCCAGCACTTTATACCAGTCTCCAGCTTCTGTCCGGAATTACTGGTGTACCAGATAGCCCTTTTAAAATCAAGGGCATTTGACGTGAGTCCTCCAAGAGTCAGTACATAAGGCATCTGTTTTACTCTGATTTCCATGTGCCTTTGAGAATTTGTATCTAAAATTCTGCTAGCTGACCTCCACCTCAGCCATCTGTAAACCTCACCCAGTGTGGAAGAAAGGGAGGTCCCACAGTACTTGCCTTGGCCTTCCTTCCGTAGGGAAGCTGTGTTGACTTTGAAAGAAAACAGTGAAGCTGCTCCAGCCCTAAGGCTGCTCTCCTGCAATAGCTTGTATTGCCTCTGTACTTAACTCTCCTTGCCTGTGAAGGATCCCTTTGGTCCAGCTTCATTTTCTTCTGCCAGGTCTACCGGAGTCACCATTAGCAGTGCAATTGTCTTAAAAGGTTTTTTTGTAAAAGCAAGATGTATCTGATGTTTAATCATCTGGAAAGTAAAAAGGAGATATGATTTAAAATTCACATGTTTAAACACAGGAGAAGCACCTGTGCTATGTGTTTTGGGCTGTGAAAGGCACAGTGGTTTTGGAGGCTTCTGTCAGAGGACAACTATGTCTTCTCCAGCAAAGAAGCCAGTGGCATGCACACCTCCCTGACTACCAGGGACTGGCCTCTCTGGAAAGAGGCGTTCATCTTCCTTGGTTCTTGTGGATTTGGAGTATTCATTCCTGTCCATCTGGAGCTTATATTCTAGTTGAAATAGCTTATTTTCTTCTGACATTCTTTTTTTAACCCTGTTTTTTTCTTTTATTTATTTATTTTCCTCTCAAGCCATTATGAAAAGAAATGTTTATTTAAAAGCTCTACATTAACATCTTGAATTGTAGCTAAAGGAAAATAAAAAATAAAAATAAAAATAAAATTTAAAAAAAAAAAGCTCTATATCAGCTGGATATGGTGGCTCACGCCTGTAATCCTATCACTTTGGGAGGCCAAGGTGGGTGGATCACCTGAGGTTGGGAGTTTGAGACCAGCCTGGTCAACATGGCGAAACCCCATCTGTACTAAAAATACAAAAATTAGCTGGGCGTGGTGGCACCCATCTGTAATCCCCACTACTCAGGAGGCTGAGGCAGGAGAATTGCTTGAACCCGGGAAGCAGAGGTTGCAGTGAGCCAAGATCGCACTACTGCACTCCAACCTGGGCAACAAGAGTGAAACTGTTTCAAAAAGAAAAAAAAAGTTCTGTGTATAAAACACTGGCCTTTTAATACTATTCTAGAAGGTAAATTGATAAGGCATCAAATTAAGAAAATATATTAATATTATACCCCCTTTAGGCCTGGAAGTTTTTTTTGTTTGTTTGTTTCTTTGTCTTGAGACGGAGTTTCGCTCTTGATACCCAGGCTGGAGTGCAATGGCGTGGTCTCAGCTCACTGCAACCTCCGCTTCCTGGATTCAGGCTGTTCACCTGCCTCAGCTTCCTGAGTAGCTGGGACTACAGGCGTGCGCCACCATGCCCAGCTAATTTTTGTATTTTTAGTAGAGATGGGGTTTCACTTTGTTGACCAGGATGGTCTCGATCTCTTGACCTTGTGATCCACCCGCCTCGGCCTCCCAAAGTGCTGTGATTATAGGCTTGAGCCACCGCACCCGGCCAGGCCTGGAAGTTTTTTAAAAAGTCTTGCCAAAACCTAGGCCAGGCAGGCGTGGTGGCTGATACCTGTAATCCTAGCACTTTGGGAGGTTGAGACAGGTGGATGATGAGATCAGGAGTTCGAGACCCGCCTGGCCAACATGGTGAAACCCCATGTCTACTAACAATACAAAAATTAGCTGGGCATGGTGACAGGCACCTGTAATCCCAACTACTCAGGAGGCTGAGGCAGGAGAATCACTTGAACCTAGGAGGTAGAGGCTGCAGTGAGCAGAGACTGGGCCATTGCATTCCAGCCTGGGCAACAGAGCGACTACATCTCAAAAGGAAAAAAAAAAAAAAAAGTCTTGCCAAAACCTAAACGGCTGCTCTGTGAGGACACTATTGACATGTGGACTCTCACTTGCACCGACTAGAGGCTCAAGATCCTTGTGAAGACACTTTTCAAAAACCTGAATTTGGCTTTACAGTGAGTAAACCTAGCTTTCATTGTCTCTTCTCAGATTCAGTCCCTCTCAGGACGCCCTCGATCCTGTGATGTTGGAGGTGGCAGGTAAGTAACATTCTTTCTGTTTGTGTTTCAGAGACTATCCAGAAGGTTTTCCTGAAAGGAAAGTCTCACTGCTTTGTTACAGAACTCTCAGAAACGTAATTTGCTATGTATAAATTGAAAGTCAACTGCAGTTTCATAAAAACAGTCACTCTCTTTTGATACTCATATTTCGTCTGTTTAAAGTAATTAAATTACATAACTGTAATAACAAAACTGACATAAGTATGTTTGAGAATTACATAGCTGACTTGGTAAATACATCACTCTCTGGGTAAAAGCAGCGGCAGAAGCAGAAATGTGCAGGAATGGAGAGAAGCCCACCAGCCCTGAGCTGTGGCAGGCTGCAGGCATCAGTGACATCCTGGCCAGAGGAGAAGGAAAGCATCAGTTCACCTGGCGACTTGGTGGCACAGACATTAAGAGAGTTTCTGTGACTGTACTTAATGTCACTGAACTGTACACATAGAAATGGTTAAAATGGTAAATGTTATGATACATCCTTCACCACAACTTAAAAACATAAATGGGGGCCGGGCGCGGTGGCACAAGCCTGTAATCCCAGCACTTTGGGAGGCTGAGGCAGGTGGATCACGAGGTCAAGAGATCGAGACCATCCTGGTCAACATGGTGAAACCCCGTCTCTACTAAAAATATTTTAAAAAATTAGCTGGGCATGGTGGCACGTGCCTGTAATCTCAGCTACTCAGGAGGCTGAGGCAGGAGAATTGCCTGAATCCAGGAGGCGGAGGTTGCAGTGAGCCAAGATCGTGCCATTGCACTCCAGCCTGGGTAACAAGAAAACTCCATCTCCAAAAATAAAAAATAAAAATAAAAAAACATAAATGGAAGATAAATATATTTTCCATTTGCAATACAAAAGAGTTTCTGTGAAACCATTCATTTGTTAGTGGATTTAATAGTATGCAACTTCACTCCCTGAAAGATTTGAGACAACTTACAAAAATATATATAGTACAAGCAAATGAAAAAGGAAGTTCATGAGGAAGTTGAGTCTAAGAGAAAACGAGGAGATGAAAGAGGTAACGAGGCCCTTGCCTTAACAGAAGCTGCTTTGAGAGGGTCAGCTGTTGTGCTGCGTGGGATGGTACAGACGGCTGCTGGACCCCTTGGAACTCGATGGGCTTATCCTGAGCCCTGAGAAAGCTTCCTGGGGCTGTTTGTCAAAGCGTCCGTGACAGCAGTCCCAGCACTTGGAACCAAAGCCAGTTCAGATACAGCAAGTCTTCCCAGGGCCAAAATCATGTGGTTTGGAAATGAGACTTTTGCATGGTCCGACTTAGTACATACAATCACCAGTGGGTCAGTGGGTGAAATAAACCTACTCACCAGTGGATCAGTGGGTGAACTAAACCTATTTCAAGCAATCCTTGAATATGATTTCCCCCGACAGAGCTTCCAGTGAGTATCTCACAGCAGCACATTCAAGGCACTCCCTACTGAGTACCTGGAGCTCAGGCATTCTTTTTGACTGGTTAAGAGCCATACCATTTACCATTTTAAACATTTCTATGGCCAGGCTCAGTGGCTCATGCCTGTAATGTCAGCCCTTTGGGAGCCCAAGGCGGGTGGATCACGAGGTCAGGAGATAGAGACCATCTGGCTAACATGGTGAAACCCTGTCTCTACTAAACATGCAAAAATAGCTGGGTGTGGTGGTGCACACCTGTAGTCCCAGCTACTCGGGAGGCTGAGGCAGGAGAATTGCTTGAACCCAGGAGGCAGAGACTGCAGCAAGCTAAAATCATGCCGCTGCACTACAACCTGGGTGACAGTGCGAGACTCCGTCTCAAAAAAAAAAACAAAAACCAAAAAACATTTCTGTGTGTATAGTTCAGTGACATTAAGTACATTCACAGAAACTCTCTTAATTAACTTCGGTGCAACCAAGCTGCCAGATGACCTGATGCTTTCCTCTTTTTGTCTAGTTAAACATAAACTCAGGTAATTTGCTGAGTTGTGCCATAGGTTGATGTTCACTTAAGCATGTCGGAAAGCCTGCCAGCACACATGCCAACAAAAGACGGGACGCTGAGGGCTGCAAGGACATTCCCATGGAAACGGCAAGATTTTCCTCGAGAGTCTCCCTCAACCTATTCTGGTTCAGGGGCTTCCTGGTAAAAAGGAAATTTGGAGAAAAAAAAAAAAGGATTTTCTTCAAGAGCCAATTTTGGCTTAACCATCAGGCTCTGAAAGCCTACATTATAGAATCAGACTTCAGTACTTTAGCCCTGGAGAGGGTTTTTTGTTTGTTTTGTTTTTATTTATTTGTTTAATTTTTTTTTTTTTAAGATGGAGTCTCTGTCACTCAGGCTGGAGTGCAGTGGCATGCTCTTGGCTCACTGCAACCTCCACCTCCCGGGTTCAAGCGATTCTCCTGCCTCAGCCTCCCAAGTAGCTGGAATTACAGTATTTTTAGTAGAGACAGGGTTTCACCATATTGGCCGGGCTGGTTTCGAACTCCTGACCTCAAGTGATTCACCTACCTTGGCCTCCCACAGCACTGGGATTATAAGTGTGAGCCACTATGCCTAACTTGTTTTGTTTTTAAAGATGGGGTCTTACTGTGTTGGCCAGGGTGATCTCGAACTCCTGGCCTCAAGTGATCCTCCCAAAGGATCACTTGCCTCAGCCTCCCATAGCACTGAGATTACAGGTGTGAGCCACCATGCCTGGCCAACCCAGAGAATTCTAAAGCAGGTGTTTCTTAGGTAGAGAAAGTTGTTGTCTTGCCCTTACATTGCAGATAGAATTCCATTCAGTGACTCCAAGTCATGCAGATATTTATTGGTCCCCTGATTCTTGGCACTGGCTAGAACAATGAACAAAACAGATGAAGTTCCTGCTTTTGAGGAGCTAATAATCTAGTGGAGCAAGATGGGCAGAAACCAGTAAGCACAGCATGGCAAAATTCGTGTGTGGGAAAATGCACTGAAGGAGATGCAGGCGCAGCAGGTGGGCAGGCAGCCACCGGCGGCATTGCAGAAGGCTTTCTGACAGGGTCAAGTGAGGCGGACAGAGCTCCAGGCAGTGGGAGCACCAAGCAAAAGACCCCAAGGCAGGAGGAGGCCTGGAGCTCAAGGAGGCTTGTGTTGCTTGGATCTGGCTCAGAGAAAATGGGAGTCATTAGAGGGTCTTGAATGGGGGGCAAGCCATGACTTTCCTTAGATGGGTGGTGACTTGGATGGGTAGTAACTGTATTTGGACAGGAACCACCTATATTGGTCCCAGCTGCAGAGGAATTGCTGTGAATGTTACTCATGGCCTGGTTCACAGTGGCCACATTTTTCCCATCCTTGCTCTGTGCCGTTGGACACGTCTCCCTGCCGCGCCCCGCACTCCCTGCTTCACTCCCACCTGATCACCCATGGATCTTCCTTCTCAGTCAGAAAGCCCATTGTTCTCACATCAAGGACTCTGGGGTCTCAATTTTTTTTTCTAGACCTTGACCTTTAACCCTATAAACAGTTCTATACTTCCAGCCATCTAAACAACAAAATTCAGGCCGGGCGCAGTGGCCCACGCCTGTAATCCCAGCGCTTTGGGAGGCCAAGGTGGGCAGATCACTTGAGGTCAGGAGTTCGAGACCAGCCTGACCAACATGGCGAAACCCTGTCTCTACTAAAAATACAAAAATTAGCTGGGTGTGGTGATGTACATCTGTAATCCCAGCTACTCAGGAGGCTGAGGCAAGAGAATTGCTTGAGTCCTGGAGGCAGAGGTTGCAGTGAGCCGAGATTGCACCACTGCACTCCAGCCAAGATGACAGAGTGAGACTCCTTCTCTAAAAAATAAAATAAAAAAGACAAAATTTATATGCAGTTTTTCCACAACTAAAATGATCCTTCTTTCTCATCATCTGGTTGGACACCTCTCCTGCTGTTCCATTTCTTTCCAAGACTCCACAGATCACCCAGTCCTACTTTTACAAAGAAAAGTGAGGTGAGGCCGGCAGGAGCGAGAGCTCAGCTCTCCTCTGCCACTGATTCCCCCGTCACCAGCCTCCTCTAGTCCTAATCAGGGTGGCCACTTTACTACTCCCTGGCCCTCCTCCCACTGGCTTTGCAGAGGCCTTTCTCTGCTAATTAGCCTTCCTTCATTTCCAGAATTCTCAGCCATGCTTCTTGAAAGGCTTTTGACTCTCGAGTGTTCCTTACTTCTTACCCATCCTTGACCCACCATGGGATGGCTTCCACGTCTTCTGTTCAGTGGAAACTTGAGAATGTCAGTTACCTCCTGTGCGTAACTGGGAGAGAAACATCCCTGCTGCGTGTCTTCCTACTCAGCAAAAAGTCGAAGCCAAAGTAGAACTTATGATCTCATCCATGCCCCTGCCCTCATTCCCAGTCTCCCGTATCTTCAGTGTCCTGTCTCAGTCTCCAGGCCAAAGGCCCCAGAGATGTTCTTGAGTCCTGCTTCCTTGTCTCTGGAGCCCCCTGTGGCTCTCCCTCCCTGCGCTCGTGGTCTCCTGCTGGACTGTCCAGCAGTGTCACAGCATCCCTCTCTGCCTCCCAGTCTGCTCCTTGCACCCCAAGACCCCATCCCCAAGACTGTTAGCTGCACTGTCCTAAGGAAGGCTGATATCCCTCCCCACACACACTGCCCACACCGCTTTCAGCCTTCCACCATCATTCATATGTCAGTGTCACCCGCACGACAGTCCCAGCCTCGGCTGCTCTCTGCCTGCTTTTCTGGTTCCATCTCCCATCACTACCCAGCCTTCCTCAACGCAACCCTCCCTTGTCTGAATCCTCATGGTTCAGAGGGCGCACCCTGTAGTCTCACACCTCCCTGCTTCTGCCCATGCTGTGAGCTTTGCCTGAAACCTTTTTCCCTAACAAGATCACCTGAATTCTTTAGCCTTTAAACTCAGCTCAGATGTCCTCCAAGGAAGCCTCCTCAGGTTGGCCGGGCCTCCCTCCACATGGCCTCCCGCCAGGCTCTGTCACTGCATGATGGGATTGTATTATGTTGCCAGTTATGTTCCTTACAGCTCAGTGTTTTAAAGCCCAGATGCCAGTGGCTGGCCCCTGGGAGGTGCTCTCCTGGCATGTGCAGGATGGGATAAGGTGTCCTCAGTGCATCTCATGATGCCCCCTGCTCCTGGCTGGTGGCAACTTCCCCCACATTCTCCCCTGCTTCACCCTCACTGCGCTTTTCCTAGGTCAACCCTGGGCCACTACAGGGGGTCCTTCTCATTGGTTCTCCCTGCCTGTTTCTGCTCCCTGCAGCCATCCTCCACACTGGAACTACAGTGACATTTCTGAAATGTCATTCTCCAGCTTAACCTGACCTCCCTTTTTCTACCGTCCCTGATCTAGACTCCTGAGAAGAGCACATCCTCTCCTGCCCCATCTGCTACCCTCCCTTCCCCATACGCTGCCCTGACACTGGACACCTTGGCCATGCCCAGCTTCTCACAGTTCCACACACACTTGTGTCACATCCATGACAAACCCGGCCCCTCCAGAGCCCATCCCGACATGAACAACTCCTGCGTTTGTGCTCCCAGAGCCACTTGTACCCACTGGTCATGCACACCCCTTCTCAAACCTGCACCGCGCGCTTCCTGCCACGCTGCACTTACTTGCTTTCCCAGCCTATCTCTCCTGCAGTCCGTGAACTGCGAGGACAAGGTCCTCTCGGACCTGGCTAGCAGGCCCCTCCCTGAGCCCCGCCCTTGAGAGGGCTTCATTCTCAAAGGGAACATACCACCATTGTACACTGCTAGGCCTAGGGGGTGGCCAGAGAGTCAGCGTGGTGTGAACAGAGCTTTGCCGCGTAGTCTGGGATGGCCATGTGCGCGCACTGCAGTACAGAGCAGGACTTGGGGGAAGAGAAGGGGACTGGACGGAGAGCCAGGCTGCCTCTCCCTGTGTGTTCTGGCACAGAACTCCAAGAAGTCTGAGAGTTCTTCATGTAAATCTGGCCTCGCAGGCTATCATGAAGGCTATTATGAAGGTATAATTTGTCAAGATAGACACACAGAACAAAGTTCATGTAAGGGTTTGCTCATTTGATTTGTAACTTTAAAAATGGAAACAGATGGTATGCGGGCCTCCTTTTATACCCTAGCTCCCAGCCTGCACAATTCAGGAGCAGGCCTGACCCCAGACACACTCACCCTGCGCGTTCACCATTGGTGCCACCACCACGTGGCTGCTGCCTGCCACACAGTGCCCAGCCCACAGATGGTGATAAATGAATGGCAGCATGTCTGTCATTCTAAGTTTATAAAGACTGTAATTTTAAAAATGTATCTTGGAAGGTAGCTAGTTACTCAGAGATACTTTTTCTGGTAGCAAAGATAACTTAGAAATCCAGCAAAAAGAACTAAGTAAATAGAGAGCAGGGGCTCACATTTTATATAGTGCTTTCTAATTTTCAGAATACTCTTGCATCTATAATCTAATCTGGTCTTGATTATTCTAGACCATAATCTAATATTCCTGTGATGTGGGCTCAGGTAGTCGGTGAGGAAGTGTGTTTGAGAGAGGCTGAGCTGAGCATCCGTGTTCTCAGAGTGAGAGAGCCGCACAAGGACCTCGGTCTTTGATGGCCACTGCTCTCACCGGACAGGAAGAGGCCTCAGGCATGGTTGGTTTCCTGACAGCCAAATGCATTGTAGAAAGTCATTCTTAATCTTTCTTTTTTCAGTGCTTTTCCACATAACGGTCAAAATGTGGGCCTCTCACCCTTTTTGGGGACCCTGAACACTGGAGGGTCATTGCCAGATCTAACCAACCTCCACTACTCGGCGCCCCTGCCAGCCTCCCTGGACACCAGCGACCACCTCTTTGGTAGTATGAGTGTGGGGAATAGTGTGAGCAACCTCCCAGCTGCTATGACCCACCTGGGTATCAGAAGCTCCTCTGGTGAGTATCTCCTGCTTAGCAGTGACCTGGTGGCTTAATCATATGTGGTCCCCACCCGTGTGGCCTATTCTGTGAATCACTGAGTGGGAGTGACTGCATCTCAGTTAGAGATGATGATGGACCTCCCTGTGTCTCCTGACCCTGCGGGCATTTTTCCTGGGCGTTTCTGTTTCTCCTGGATTGATGAGTGTGGTGCAGCTCTGCTGAACCTCATTCCCTATTGTCTTCGCTCACTCCTCTATGCAGGGACTTGGGAATAAGATCTGCAAGCCAAGAAGTAAACATCCGCTCTGTGTTGGCCGAACAGTATTGGTGGCTCATACCAACATATGCTCTTTTATAACTTAGGCCTTCTCTCTAGATTCCTCCCATTCTCCATTAGGTTCCTAAAGGCAGTATTTTGCATTTTAGAAAATTTACAATGGATATGATGAAAATAGTTCTACTTAATATCTGTGTATTCAGTAGAAATCCCCCACAGTTCCAAACAGTTCCAGTTAAAGATGCAGCATTAGCTACATAAAGATGCTATCCGTAACGGGACTTGGGTGTTACACTGCAGGTTTGATTGCCCACAGCTCAGACCCTATATTGAAATATGACTACATTTGTTTGAAGCCTGACACTTTTTTTTTTTTTTTTTTGAGACGAAGTCTCACTCTGTCACCCAGGCTAGAGTGCCATGGCACGATCTCAGCTCACTGCAACCTCCGCTTCCCAAGTTCAAGCAATTCTCCTGCCTCCGCCTCCCAAGTAGCTGGAATTACAGGCATATGCCACGATGCCCTGCTCATTGTTTTTGTATTTTTAGTAGAGACGGGGTTTCACCATGTTGGTCAGGCTGGTCTCGAGCTGCTGACCTCAAGTGATCCGCCCGCCTTGGCTTCCCAAAGTGCTGGGGTTGCAGGCCTGAGCTGCCACTGACATAATCTTGTCAACATCTAGGGCAGGTGGTAATCCTCTTACTCCTAGTGGTGTGGTGCAGCCTCTGGCCTAACAGTCCTACCCAGAATTGTGTTGTGGAGCACTTCATTTGGAGGGGATGCTCAGTGATGGTCTCCAGGTGGAAGGAGTGTTTGTTGGTTTCTGCTCTGAGACTCATCCATGCAAATCATAACTTACCACCGAGGTAACTCACCAGAGAGTGGTCCCCTTTGGGGGGTCACCTGGAGGGTTCTCCAGTGATTGCAGTGATCCTGCCATGGTGCAACATAAGCTTAGTTGGAAGAACTGATTTCAGACACCACCTTTATTTTTGTCTTTTTGGGGTTTTGGGGTCATTTTAGTATCCTTAATAGTAGTAAGTCTTTCACAGACTAAGTCTCAGTTTTGATATTTATACATTTGCTTCATAGGAGAAGTTTTATGTTTGCTTCATAGGAGAAACTCTCAAGACCTTTATGCCAAGATTCAGAGTCTGGGCAATTCACCTTTTGGGTGAATCCTCAATGTGTGAAGACATGTAGGTTCCCAGAAGTAAAGCAGCATCAGCACATAGCTCCCTTGGGTCTCAGGGAGGCTGGAATGTTCCAGTACAGCCTTTGACACTGTGCTTCAAGCTGAACTTACAAAGTTTATTCACTGCTTGTCTTCTCAAAAAAGCATTATTTTATCCAGAACACATCAGAACCAACGTCAGGTTTCTGTATTTTCTATGCACTCCTTAAAATGCATGGCACACAAAGATTTAAAAGATGTTTCAGAGATGCTTGAGCTTTCTTTCTGAAGGGATTTTTAAAAGCTAAGTCCCCAGCCATAGCTCTAATTAGTCCCTGAGCCAGCTGGATCACTGCCCTCTTTGTGGACTGGTGAGCGCTGGGATAATTATGTAGGGCTTTATCATAGACATGTTCCTACCTTTAAAAATATAGCAACTGTGCTCTGTGATACTGGACACTGCCAGGTTAAAAAAAAAAAATATATATATATATATATATATATATATATATATATATATGGCAAGTGAAGTCATTTACATGAATTCTAAAAATATAATGAAAGTTTAAAAAATAATTTTGCCAGCTCAGTGTGCTTGATTTTTGTCATTTCTATCCTTTCCATAACCTTTAACAAACACTGAAATTTTTTGTCAACACAAAACTGCTGATACAAAAAAGACAGGTGGAGGTAGGGAGTGCTAGTTGAGATCCACACAGCAGCAGCAGCAGCAGAATGATTGATTCGCTGAGCGAAGCTGCTCCATGCCAGGCCCTGTGCTGCCGAGGATCCAGCAGGGCAGAGGACAGGATCCCCAGCCTCACGGAGCTCGTGCCCTAGCAGCCTGCACCACAGAAATGCCTCTCCCAAACTTCCTTGCTCAAGATAAAATTCACCCATCCCCCAAATAAAGCACCAGCAAAAACTTCCTTTTCCCTGAGTTGAGATAGACTGTGATGAACAATTTCTTGGGAACCAGAAGATTGAAGAGGGACCCCGGGGTGGGAGATAGAAGGGAGTGTCCCTTCCTATGACTCCCTCGTATGCTGAGATTAAAGAGCTTAAAGAACACCAAGACGGTTCCCCGGGGGCCATGACTCTGTGGAAGGACATCCTTTTTTTTTTTTTTGAGACGGAGTTTCGCTCTTGTTACCCAGGCTGGAGTGCAATGGCGCGATCTTGGCTCACCGCAACATCAGACTCCTGGGTTCAGGCAATTCTCCTGCCTCAGCCTCCTGAGTAGCTGGGATTACAGGCACGTGCCACCATGCCCAGCTAATTTTTCTGTATTTTTAGTAGAGACGGGGTTTCACCATGTTGACCAGGATGGTCTCAATCTATTGACCCCGTGATCCACCCGCCTCGGCCTCCCAAAGTGCTGGGATTACAGGCTTGAGCCACCGTGCCTGGCCGGAAGGACATTCTTAAAGGCAGCAGGGGATGCAGGCCCTGTGCTCTGGCCAGAGGCCTTCAGGGGCTCTGAACAATGTGTTATACAGCCCTAGGGCCCTTTCTCTGGGTCTGGGCTGAGCACCTGGAACATTTGCCTCTGCTACCCACCATTTACCTAGCTTTGCCCACCCAGGGGTTGTTGAGACAGTAACCCTCATGGGAAAACATTGTTCTCATCTTGGTGGCCGTGTCTCTGTGAGCAGGAGCATCTTCTCCTGGCCATTGAGGCATCAGATACAGTCACTGGAGGAGAGTTATCCAGGAGCTCCTTAACCTACAGAATCGTCATCACATGTGACAGTAGACAGTGTTCTTTCATTTTTGGAAAAGATTTGGTCTGAAATGATAAGTAACTTGTGAATTTGTTGTCTTCCAGGTCTCCAGAGTTCTCGGAGTAACCCCTCCATCCAAGCCACGCTCAATAAGACTGCGCTTTCCTCTTCCCTAAATAACCACCCACAGACATCTGTTCCCAGCGCATCTGCTCTTCACCCTTCACTTCGTCTGTTTTCCCTTAGCAACCCATCTCTTTCCACCACAAACCTGAGTGGCCCGTCCCGGCGTCGGCAGCCTCCCGTCAGCCCCCTCACGCTTTCTCCTGGCCCGGAAGCACATCCAGGTTTCAGCAGACAGCTGTCTTCAACCAGCCCACTGGCCCCATACCCTGCCTCCCAGGTAAACACAGACAAGCAGCCACTACAGTGAAACAGACCGCAAGACACAGGAAGCGCGTTCCTCCTCTTTACTGTTTTGGGTTACTGCCATGATTACACTAAGCACCCGTGAGGCCTCAAGTGCCGTCCTTTCACTCTTACATGTGAAATCAGAGCAGAAGTTCGATAATGCAGAATGAATTCATGAGTTAGTTTGTTTCTTTTTTTTTGAGAAGGGGTCTCACTCTGTTGCCCATGCTGGAGTGCAGTGGCACAATCATGGCTCACTGCAGCCTTGACCTCCGGGCTCAAGCAATCCTCTCACCTCAGGCTTTGAGTAGCTGGGACCACAGGCATGCACCACCACACCTGGCTAATTTTTTTTATTTTTTGTAGAGACAAGGTCTTGACATACTACCTAGGCTGATCTCAAATGCCTGGGCTGAAGCCATCTTCCCAGCTTGGCCCCCCAAAGTGCTGGAATTCCAGGCATGAGCCACCATGCCCAGCCTAATTAATGATTTTCTATTATAACAATACCAGATGGCTGGGCGTGGTGGCTAATATTTGTAATCCCCACACCTTGGAGGCCGAGGTAGGCAAATCACAAGGTCAGGAGTTTGAGACTAGCCTGGCCAACACAGTGAAACCCCGTCTCTACTAAAAATACAAAAAATTAGCTAGGTATGGTGGTGGGTTCCTGTAATCCCAGCTACTTAGGAGGCTGAGGCAGGAGAATCGCTTGAACTCAGAAGGCAGAGGTTGCAGTGAGCTGAGATCACACCAGCCTGGATCACATAGCTAGACTCCAACTCAAAAAAAATAAATAAATAACAGATTTGCTGTGTTGATTACTCTTTAATACTTTTTAAGCAATGTTGAACAATCTGTAGTCACTAACTCACAAACTTGGGGCTGAGAGGGACAATAGGATACAGAGAATGCCATTCAGGTAAATCTAAGAAAGCTAAGGGAACCAGGTTAGGATTTCAAAGTTGGCATGGAAAATCAGTCATTGACTCTCTAAGTACATTAAGCCATAGGGGAAAGCCAAAGAGAACATTTAATAGCTTCCAGAAGCTTAGATAGTAGATTAGACCTCCTCCCCAATTATCTACAGATTTCAGAAACAATACTTTCATTGTTCACGAAATACTAAGTATAATGAGGATGAGATCTGTTGTGAGGAGGAAAAGAAGTCTGTTGTGCCGGGCGCGGTGGCTCAAGCCTGTAATCCCAGCACTTTGGGAGGCCGAGGCGGGCGGATCACGAGGTCGAGAGATCGAGACCATCCTGGTCAACATGGTGAAACCCCGTCTCTACTAAAAATACAAAAAATTAGCTGGGCATGGTGGCTCGTGCCTGTAATCCCAGCTACTCAGGAGGCTGAGGCAGGAGAATTGCCTGAACCCAGGAGGCGGAGGTTGCGGTGAGCCGAGATCGTGCCATTGCACTCCAGCCTGGGTAACAAGAGCGAAACTCCGTCTCAAAAAAAAAAAAAAAAAAAAAAAAAAAAAAAGAAGTCTGTTGAGAAAGAGGCACATTTAAAAGTCACAAACCGGCCGGGCGCGGTGGCTCAAGCCTGTAATCCCAGCACTTTGGGAGGCCGAGGCGGGTGGATCACAAGGTCAAGAGATCGAGACCATCCTGGTCAACATGGTGAAACCCCATCTCTACTAAAAATACAAAAAATTAGCTGGGCATGGTGGTGCGTGCCTGTAATCCCAGCTACTCAGGAGGCTGAGGCAGGAGAATTGCCTGAAACCAGGAGGCGGAGGTTGTGGTGAGCCGAGATCCCGCCATTGCACTCCAGCCTGGGTAACAAGAGCGAAACTCCGTCTCAAAAAAATAAAATAAAATAAAAGTCACAAACCCATACAAAGAAATTGAAAACTTAGCTGGGCATCGTGACAGGCACCTGTAGTCTCAGCTACTCCAGAGTGGAGGTGGGAGGATCACTTGAGCCCAGGAGGTCGAGGCTGCAGTGAGCCAAGATAGCGCCACTGCACTGCAGCCTGGCAACAGAGTGAGACCTTGTCTCAAAAGAATAGCTCATTACAGAAATAGAGGGTTTGAAATATCCTATAAATGCTAAACTCAGGGGTGCTTCTCCTTACCATAATCACTGAGGAATATATATATTTTTAACCTTTGGCCATACCCTCAATCTGTTATAACATCATTAACTACTTACCAGCTTGCCATAAATTAGTAATGATTTAGCAAGGAACACTTGACAGAACACAACAGAGTTAGAGGATCTTGTTATTAGTCACTCTGCCAATTACTAGCTGTGGCATCTTGATTGTATGAGTAATCTCTTTTGGACAAGGGTGAGAGGACATTTCATAATTTTTGTTTTTAAGTCTCTGTCGCCCAAGCTGGAATGCAGTGGCATGATAATGGCTCCCTGCAGCCTTGAATTCCTAGGCCCAAGCAATCCTTCCTCAGCTGGGATTCTTCAAGTAACTGAGACTACAGCCCATGGCACTACACCCAGTTAATTTTTGTATTTTTTGGCAGAAACAGGGTCTTCCTGGGCTGGTTGTGTGCCTCATGCCTGCAGTACTAGCACTTTGGGAGTCCCAAGGCAGGCGGATCACTTGAGGGAAGGAGTTCAAGACCAGCTTGGTCAGCATGACGAAACGCCATCTCTACTAAAAAAAATAAAAATTAGCGGGGTGTGGTGGCACACACCTGTAATCCCAGTTACTGAGGAAGCTGAGGCAGAATTGTTTGCACCTGGGAGACAGTAGTGAGCCAAGATCGCACCACTGTACTCCAGCCTAAGTGACAAAGTGACTCTGTCTCAAAAACTAAACAAAAAAAATCTTTTTTTAATTAGAAAAGAAAGAAACAGGGTCCCCATATGTTTCCCAGGCTGATCTTAATCTCCTGGGGTCAAGTGATCCTCCTGCCTCAGCCTCCAAAGGGGCTGGAATTAGCCAGTGTGCCCTGTGCCAGGCATGAGCCTCTGTATCCTGTCATAGTTTTTATTTTTATTTTTTGAGACAGTGTTTCACTCTGTCATCCAGGCTCGGAGTGCAGTGGCGTGATCACAACTCACTGCAGCCTTGAACTCCTTGAGCTCAGGTCATCTTCCAGTTTAACCTCCCAAGTAGCTAGGACTACAGATGTGCGCCATCATACCCAACTAATTTTTGTTTTTGTTTTTGTTTTTTTTTTGTAGAGATGGGGTTTCACCATATTGCCCAGGCTAAATAATTACTGGTTTTGTGGTTCTTATGTTACTGAGTTGCCTTTAATTTTATTTAACAAGATTCTTTTATAAGATAAATGAATGTTGCTGGACACAGTGGCTCTAACCATAATCCCAGCTATTCAGGAGGCAGAGAACGGAGGATTGCTTGAGGCCAGAAGTTCAAGACTAGCCTTGGCAACATAGTGACACTCTGTCTCTTTAAAAAAGGGAATTTTAAAAAGTGAATGTTATTCATGCACATAGTTTAAAAAGTCAAATAGGGCTGGGCGCGGTGGCTCACGCCTGTAATCCCAGCACTTTGGGAGGTGAGGCGGGTGGATCACGAGGTCAAGAGTTCGAGACCATCCTGGTCAACATGGTGAAACCCTGTCTCTACTAAAAATACAAAAAATTAGCTGGGCACGTGTCTGTAATCCCAGCTACTCAGGAGGCTGAGGCAGGAGAATTGCCTGAACCCAGGAGGCAGAGGTTGCGGTGAGCCGAGATCGTGCCATTGCACTCCAGCCTGGGTAACAAGAGCAAAACTCTGTCTCAAAAAAAAAAAAATCAAATAGTTCTAAAAGACTTGTTATAGAAAAGCAGCTGTCTTTCCCCTTTTTCTTAGGCATATTTCTCACTGCCTAGAAATGGCTACTGTAAGCCATTTTAGCTACTCTCTTTGGTGTAACCAAGGTTTTCTGTTTTTTTGTTGTTTTTGAGACAGAGTCTTGCTGTGTTGCCGAGGCTGGGATGCAGTGGGGCAATCTCAGCTTACTGCAACTTCCACCTCCTAGGTTCAAGCAATTCTCTTGCCTCAGCTTTCCAAATATCTGGGACTACAGATGTGTACCACCATGCCCAGCTAATTTTTGTATTTTTAGTAAAGACAGAGTTTCACCATGTTAGCCAGGCTGGTTTCGAACTCCTGACCTCAGGCAATCCACTCATCTCGGCCTCCCAAAGTCCTGGGATTACAGGCACAAGCCACTGTGCCCAGCCTAACCATGTTGTTTTATGTTTTTGTTCTACATTTTTGGTATTAGGCATTATGTAATGACATCAACCAACAAAGGTTAGAATCAAGTTCTCTTTCTGCTCTCTGACAAATCCCACCACACACATAGGTGCACACCTGTGTGCAGATACATATGTGTGTACACACAATTTCCTACCCACCTCATTTATAATAATTGTGGGTAGAGCAATAGTCAATATTTAGTGTTTTTATGGTTACAATGTAGTCAGAGTTGACATATAGTATACTATGAAATAAAATGAGAATTATTTTTTCCTCCTAGGAGTTAATAAATGTCTTTTTTTTTTTTTTGGTTAGCCTGATAGTATGTATCTATGTGTATTACTAATTCAGTCCCCAATTCTCTAGTTTATAGGAAAGAGTGTGTGGGACCTCATATGACTTAAAATGTCTTCATTTGGTCTGCCATTTAATTATTATTTGGCTGAATATGGAATTCTAAATTTGAAATAATTTTCCCTTGGAATCTCTTGCCTTTTAGTTTTTAAGTTGTTTTTGAGAAATCCAGTGCCATTCTGATTCTGAACACTTGGCACGGACTCTGCCCCTCCGCCCAGGCTTGTGAGATCTTTTTGCCCCCAGTCTTCTGAACTCTCAAGATAATGCGGCTTGGCGTGAGTCTGCGTATTTGGTGGGTTCCTTCAATGTGGAAACTCACAGTTCCTTTCTGGGACGTGTTCACTATTTCTTCAATGATTTCTTTGCTTCAGTTTTCTCTGTTCTCCCTCTCTGGAACTCTACAGATGTTGACTATTCTGTACTTCTCAAATATCCTCGTTCTCTCTCCCTGTCTCCTTCTCTGTGGTTGTTTCCTTGTTTGTTTGCTTTGCTTTCTGGAAGAGTGTCGAAGCTTTACCTTCTAGCCCTTGTGTTGAGGTTTCCATTTCTGCTCTCATTTTTAAATTGCTATGAGTTCTTTTTTGTTCTGAGTGTTCCTTTTTAATAGCATCATACTAGCCGGGCGCGGTGGCTCAAGCCTGTAATCCCAGCACTTTGGGAGGCTGAGGCAGGTGGATCACGAGGTCAAGAGATCAAGACCATCCTGGTCAACATGGTGAAACCCCGTCTCTACTAAAAATACAAAAAAAAATTAGCTGGGTATGGTGGCGTGTGCCTGTAATCCCAGCTACTCAGGAGGCTGAGGCAGGAGAATTGCCTGAACCCAGGAGGCGGAGGTTGCGGTGAGCCGAGATCGCGCCATTGCACTCCAGCCTGGGTAACAAGAGCGAAACTCCGTCTCAAAAAAAAAAAAAAATAGCATCATACTTATGCCACAGATGCAATATGATCTTTTCTCTCGTCAAGGTTTTTAGTGGTCTTTTTATCTAATTTGTCTTTATTTTTTACAATAGAATTTGTCTAAATTGCATAAAAGTAGAGAAAATAATACACTGAGTCCTCCTATACCCATCATCTAGTCTCAACAATTAACAGTATCTTTTTTTTTTTTTTTTTTTTTTTTTTTTGAGACAGTCTGGCTCTATCACCCAGGCTGGAGTGCAGTGGTGCGATCTCAGCTCACTGTAACCTCTGCCATCCAGGTTCAAGCCATTCTCCTGGCCTCAGCCTCCCAAGTAGCTGGGACTACAGGTGCACGCCACCATGCCTGGCTAATTTTTGTCATTTTTAGTAGAGATGAAGTTTCACCACGTTGGCCAGGCTGATCTCAAACTCCTGACTTCAGGTGATCCGCCTGCCTCAGCCTCCCAAAGTGCTGAGATTACAGGTGTGAGCCACCATGCCGGCCTTAATGTTTCAACACTACTGTGCATTTAAAAATTGCAAATATTTCAATATGTATCTCTAATAGAAAAGGATTTTCTTAGTAGCCTAAATACTGTCATGCTAATTTTGTTTTTATCACAACTACTTCATACTGCACAGATCTTTCCAAGATTCTGTGTCTGCTTTGGCCTCCAACTCTCACGGCAGATGGCTTCCTCAGGGCCGAGTGATCCTCAGTGCTCTGCTCAGGTTGAGAAGCGGGCTGGCAGCTCTGTGCGCGTGGGCAGGCCTGCTGAGTGTGCTGTTCACTGTAGAATGATCTAGCTTGGTCATTTCCTTGGGATTCTTCTGGTGTTGTAAGTTTTAGGATTTTTTTCTGGCCAGCGTGGTGGCTCACACCTGTCATCTCCGCACTTTGGGAGGCTGAGGCAGGCGGAGCACAAGGACAGGAGTTGAAGACCAGCCTGGCCAGCATGTTGGAACACTGTCTCTACTAAAAATACAAAAATTACCCACGCATGATAGCATGCTTCTGTGATCTCAGCTACTTAGGAGGCTGAGGTGGGAGAATCGCAGTGCACTCCAGCCTGGGTGACCAAGTGAGACTGTTTCCATAACAAAAAGATTTCCTGTCTTAGGCCTTGTCAGTTTCCCTAAAGGACACTTTCCCAGTGTCACACCTCGGTATATGCCTGGATTCCAGCATCCTAGAGCCGGGCTGGGAAAGAAAGGTGGAGATCTTAAGATTCGATCGTGAGATTTCTTCGAAACCGTGTTTTCAGTACAGTGCCTCACCTTCTAAGAACCAGAGACCCTTCATTTTATTCTCAGGAATAGAACCTTCCAGTCTTCTGGCAGGCAGTGGAGGGGTGAGAGCGGTTCGCAGCAGCACACTGGAGCCAGGGGCTCTGCAGGTTTCACGCCCCCTTAGACAAACTTTGACCAGAACCACCTGCTTTCAATCCATCCCCTGCTCCCTGCTGTCCCCAATTCCAGAGCCCTGTGGGGAGTTAGTGGTGCGAATGAGATTGCCTCTTGGTTTTTTCTCACTGAGAGCCCTGTGGGGAGTTAGTGGTGTGAGTGAGATTGCCTCCTGCTTTTTCCTCACTGCCAGCTTACCATTGGGTTTTCCTTAGCTCTGCTAGGCCAGTTACCACTTGACCATCTGCTTCTCATTTTCCAGCTTTTGCTACCATTTTTTTCTCTCCAGTCACCTTGGTCTGCGTGTTTATGATCATTTTGGTGTTACGTATTGTTCATGCTTATTGCTGGTGAATGTTGGTGCCGTGTCTTGTTTTAACAGGGTTTGGGGAGAGCTAAGGAAGGGCCTTTTTCAGTCTTCTCTTTTTAACCAGATTGAAGTCATGGCTCTAAAAACCAAAACAAATGTGATTTTCATGGAAAAAAACAGGAAATTGGTTAAATTGGCTGTTTTCTTGTTTAGTCCTTTTAAGACAACAGAAATTGTCATTGAATGGAACATGCTTTGTGGGGAAGTAAATGTGAGATACACTTTGAAGGAAGAGAAACAGGCTTCTCAGCATTGCATACAACACCGTGGTGGGGAAAATCTCAGGCGTCCTCTTACTCTGACATTTCCTAATCCCAAAGGACTTAACGCTAGAAACACAGAAGCTAATTAGTGGCTTTGTGTGTGTGTGTTTTGCAGATGGTATCCTCAGACCGAAGCCGGCTTTCTTTCCTGCCCACAGAAGCTCAAGCCCAGGTGTCCCCACCACCCCCGTACCCTGCGCCCCAGGAGCTCACCCAGCCCCTCCTGCAACAGCCCCATGCCCCGGAGACCCCTGCCCAGCAGCCCCTGGCAGCCTCTTCCCTGCCACAATCAGACTTTCAGCTTCTCCCAGCCCAGGTAAGTCCTGGCAGGAGCGTTGGTGTGGAGGGAACGCTTGCGTTGCTTTGAGTTCCAAGCTCAGTGGTCACCTTCTTGTTTCCTAAATAGGGCTCATCTTTGACCAACTTCTTCCCAGATGTGGGTTTTGACCAGCAGTCCATGAGGCCAGGCCCGGCCTTTCCTCAACAGGTGGGTGATCGCCCCCTGCCTCCCCCTCCCTTGCTGCATAAACTGTACCATTTAGGTTGTTCAGTGTGTAGAAGTCATAACCCAGCAGACCAGACATGCCCCTTCCCTGGTTTTGGATGTGTTCTGTGGCTACAAGAGCCTTTCACCTTCTTTGGCCCTGAAACGCTGGCACTGGCTGCCATATTTAGTATCAGGCTTCAGCAGAGAAGCTATTGGAACAAGTGGCAGGAGACTTCTGAGGGCACTCCCGCCATAGAACTGTAAGTCACTAATGCTGGAAGGGACACAGCCCCCGCCTCATCCGTGCCCTCATGTGGAAACCAAGGCATAGGGAGGGTGGAGCCTGCTCCCACCGCAGGGTCAGAAGGTGGCGCAGCGTTTGGCCCAGAGCCTGGTTGGGGCACCCGGCACAGTGTGGCCTCCTGGGAGAGCTAGGGCCTGGGGAGGGAGAGGAGTTCCTTCTGGAAGGCATTTAAATTCGGCCGCTTTCTTTAGCAGTTTAGTTTCACCCTAACATTGGTTATTTTTAATGTTCCCAGGTTTTATAGTATTTGGTAATATTCAGTAAATATGGATGGGGCTTTATGACAGATTGAGGAGTGGAAGAGGGTGGAACAGGCGCCAGAACTGTTTGAGATGGAGTCTCACTCTGTTGCCCAGTCTGGAGTGCATTGGAGCCATCTCGGCTCACTGCAGCCTCTACCTCCCAGGTTCGAGCTGTCCTCCTGTCTCAGGCTCCTAAGTAATTGGTGTTACAGGCATGTACTCCCACACCTGGCTAATTTTTGTATTTTTTGTAGGGTCGGGGTTTCACCGTGTTGATCAGGCTAGTCTTAAACTCCTGACCTCAAGTGATCTGCTCACCTCGGCCTCCCAAAGTGCTGGGATTACAGGCTTGAGCTGTTGCACCCAGCCAAGAACTTAATAACTTAAGATAGTGTTTCTGAAGCAGGCCACGGGTGAAACTTTGTGGCAAGAACCAGTCCTCCTTGCCTCCCTCTATCCCAAAGAGCCATTTTTGTCTAGGGGGGAATCAGTGTCTCCCCAAAAAGTGATGGGAACTTTTTTTTTCTTTGCGCCAGAGTTTTGCTCATTACCCCGGGTGGAGTACAATAGCACAATCTCGGCTCACCACAACCTCCGCCACCTGGTTCAAGCAATTCTTCCGCCTTAGCCTCCTGAGTAGCTGGGACTACAGGCATGCACCACCGTGCCCAGCTAATTTTTGTATTTTTTTTAGTAGAGACGGGGTTTCACCATGTTGACCAGGGGAAACTCGTTTTGAGACGTTTTTTAAAATGGGTTAGAGAATTAGTTTCAGAAAAGGAACCTAAAATTGGCCCCAGTTATAACCAGTTCTCATAGAGGCTTTCTCATAGGGAGGAGTTCGCCTGAGTTTCCTCCTCCTGGTGTGAAAAGGAAAGGTTTCCACTTTCTCAGTATTCTAGAAACCAGGGAAGAGGCCAGGCACAGTGGCTTATGCCCATGATCCCAGCACTTTGGGAGGCTGAGGCAGGTGGCTTGCTTGAGCCCAGGAATTTGAGACCAGCCTAGGAAAAATACAGCAAGACCCCGTCTCTACAAAAAATACAAAAATTAGCCAGGCATGGTGGCATGTACCTGTGGTCTCAGCTATTTGAGAGGCTGAGGCAGACGGATCACTTGAGGCTGGGAGGTGGAAGTTGCAGTGAGCCGAGATGGCAACACTGCACTCCAGCTTGGGTGACAGAGACCCTGTCTTTAAAAAGGAAGAAAGAAATCAAGGAAGGAAAGAGTTTTACTTCCTTGGCTATGGACAGAGCCTGTGAAGGGTTCCCACAGAAGGCAGTTTGCAAAGGCCTTGGTGAGGCTGAGGAGAGATGTCAGACTCAGAGAGGCCACAGAAACCACGACCATTGGTCTCCTGGGCGGGCGTAGGGAGCTGGGGAAAGTCACCACACTGTGGCCCTCAGGGATCCCTCCTCCCCACAGTGTCTGCCTGCCTCACAAGCATATTCTGCAGTCATTACCACAAGGGCAAAGCACTCTGGGATCCTGGAAAGAAGGGGGTATCTATCAGTTTGCAAGTCAGGTTTTGCTCTGGAAACACGTGGCAATATCCGCTTCCTCCCTGGAAGCAGAGGCGGGTCTTCCTCACCGCGCCACCTTTGACGCCTCCAGGTGCCCCTGGTGCAGCCAGGTTCCCAAGACCCGCAGGACTCTTTCCATTTGAGACCAAGCCCATATTCCAACTATGGGAGTTTCCCCAACGCCATCCTGACAGGTGAGTGAGCCGTCCCTCAGCTTCACTGCTTTTCTTTTGCTGTGATTTCAGATACCTTTATAAGGCAGTTTAAACAACGTGACATATAAAGCAAAAAACAAATGTCCCCTGGTGTGGCTCGACGACTCTGTGAGATGCAGGTTTGCAGCCTTAGAGACAGGCAGGGCAGCGGGCCAGGTAGTCAGAGCCTTTCCTGAAGACTGCGTGTTAGGTGACTGATGACTGTTGAAAAGGGAAAAACCCGCAAAACGGGGAGTTGTGCAGCTGACAAGAATGTAGATTCTAGGGCAAGAGCTATGGGCCTGGGGGCGGTCAGGACGCATGGGATGGCAGTCTAGGGGACCTTCGTCAGCTGGCTTTGCCCAGTAGCCTGGAGACCTCACCCTTCCTAACGCACTGTTTTCCCCTCTGGACCTCCTTTCAGAAGACGCCAGCTCCAGCCTCTTCAAAGACCTCAGCAGCGCACTGGCAGGCCTGCCCGAGGTCAGCCTGAATGTGGACACTCCATTTCCACTGGAAGAGGAGCTGCAAATCGAACCCCTGAGCCTGGACGGACTCAACATGTTAAGTGACTCCAGCATGGGCCTGCTGGACCCCTCTGTTGAAGAGACGTTTCGAGCTGACAGACTGTGAACAGACTCCAGTGCAACAGGAGAACGTTTTTCTGCAACAGCCAACACAGAATGGAATAGAATGGAGCCAGCTGCCACCCCAGGCTTTAGTTATCTTGACATGGAAGGAACCAGTGCTACGGTCTAGGCTTTCCAGTGAGGTCCCGTCGCAGACACGGTGGCTTCCTCCAGGTCACACAGCTATGTCCTGCTCTCCGGCCTGTGGCCAACTTCGTGTTGCAGCAGGCGGGCTGCTCGGAGCTGCCGTGAACTGGAAAGCTCATCTCTATCCCGTCTTTGTATTGGCCATCCAGTCAATCAATGTGCAGAGTAGAAAGAATCGTGTCACCGGAGGCCTCCATAGCAGCGAGTAGCACCCAGAACCACTGATTTCCGTCCGCACCAAAGGTGGGCCTAGAGCAGCGGCGGGAGGGAGTGCCTCGATGCCTGCTCAGACCTGACCTGGAGGGCGAGCCCCTCCAGCAGGGGACATTCCCAGGCTTAGTGGACGCCCCGGCTCTCGTCCATGCCTGAACTACAACATGAAGTTTTGCCGTAAGTCTGGGGCAGGCTGGGGTCAGGCAGCTGGAGGTTCATTTCATTTTCTCCCAGTTGGTTTCTGCTGCTTCAGTACCCTTTCCTCTGGACCGGAGGAGGAGGAAGACCATTTTCTGTAGTCACTGAAGAGTCCCGTGGCACTGATGAGCCAGAAGAGGACTGTGCTTCTTCCTGGGGGGTGGGGAAGGAAGATGCAGATTGCAGGTGGCCTCTGGACAAATTCCAGACAGGCACAGAGCTCCCCATTTAGAGCAGCTAGGAGCTGAGGTGCTAACCACACCCACTGATCAGCTGAGCTTCCCATCCTGCCCCAGAGCTGTGTGTCTGTGGACTGGGGGTTTCCTGTCCCCCACGCACACCGTATGCTCCTTGAGGACAGGGACAGTGCCTTATTCATTGTTGAACTTGTGCATGGCAGCACATTCGTGTGCTGGAGTGAGTGCTGTGAACCGTGTGTGCGGTGCGTGATGAGTGACTGGTCCCCCACGCCGTGAGGCAGGCTAATCTTTAGCTATCCACTACTCCCTGCCAAATCTCAGAGCTCTAGCTTTTCTTGCACTCGTGCCTATGGTGAAGCATGCACTTTAATATGCTTTTAACACTAGGTGAGTAAACCCACAGTGAAGCTGGGCGCCGCATTCTCCTGGGGCTGCGTTCCATGCAGGCGGGTGGAAGCTATCTTGTGCATCCATCCGGAAGGGCTGAGCAGGTGGGGGCCCTGAGGGACCTCTCAGATACATGTTTTCCTATAACTTGCTTCAAGTAGAGATTCATTCTTTGAGGATGAAAAAAGAGTTTATAGTGAAAGGAAGGCCTAATTAACCTTTACTCATTAGTACCTTCTCATAAAACAGATGGACCAGATTTCCACCTCTGCCTGCCTCCTCCAAATTAGGGTAGCCCAGGAGGTTTGCAGGGGGCAGAGCACTGCAGGGGAGGAGAACCTGAAGGAGAGACGAAAGGACAGCCACTGCCCTTCCAGGAGTGTCGCTGAGGGTCACTGGACTGCTCCAGCCAGAGAAGCAAGGCTGTGTGAGGAGGGGCTGAACCTAGCACCCCTGTCCCTGGTGCAGAAGCAAGTGTCGCCAGGAGACCCTGGGCTGGCTCGCCTCTCTAAACCTCATTCCATTTCTTCTGACCTTGCCTCTAATCTTTAAATAACCCTCAGGGGGTACCCCTCTGCGCCTTCCTCTAGAATCCGAGTATTCCTGTTCACATTTGCACCACATCTTTGCTGTGGAATTAGGACATCAAACCAGAGTCCTCCTCACCTGATTCCCAGCTCGGGAAGGGCCTGCCCTAACCAGCCCTGTTCCCAGTTACACTTTCAGACCGCTTTGTGCTCAAGATCTCAGAGGGGGTGACTTTGTTCAAGAGCCTTTGGTCGTAATGCTACCTGCACCCCAGTGTGCCAGAAGAAGCCAGCTCCAGTGTCAAAGGTCCCCCAAACCTGATTTCATTCCCAACAGGGGATGGTGCTAACGTTATAAGGGTTCTGAAGTCCCAGCATAGCCCATTCTTCACATAGTGCCTTACCCATGGGGGTCATCACAGGGTCCCAGTTCAGTCTGTCTGCACAGCAGCCACCCTGCCGGGCAACAGGAGACCCCACGACCTACACAGTGAACCACACTGCCCACCAGCATCCTCCAGGTGCCTTGTGAAAACGGGGGCCACCAGGGGGAGTGACTGGTTGACTGGGGGCATGTACTGGTGGCAGTATGGCTTAGCACTGAAGTCAGCTTGTCCTGAGGTCTGTCATTCCAATCTCCTTCTGAAAGGGTCTGGGCATTTTACAACTTGCCACTGCCAGGCTGGGTGAGTCTCACTGGCCCAAAGCACGTGGGCCTGCACTCACTGCGGCCTTTGTAACAAAACCAGTCGTGGCCCTCGGCCTTTAAAGCGGCTGCATACTTCATAGTAAACTATTCTTCAATATTTAGTTTTGTCACAAGAAATCGATCATTGTACTACTCTCACAGCAGTTAAACAGCAGAGAACTAAAAGCCTGCATTTCCATTTTTTCTTTCTGTATGGTTGTGGGTTTTAGGACATAGGGCATTAGGAGAAACTTTTCCTGATCATGTCAGAAGTTCTTTGTCCCTTTTCTACTGTTTCATTTCTCCTCCATCTACTGTCTGTTACCTGAGCTGAAGCGTTGTATCAAGTCCAGATGCGCATCTGGAGACACTGCCCATTCCGACTTGTTGGCTCTTCTGATTTATGCACAGATGGTTCCCAGCATGTGTCCAGTGCTTTGTGGATGGGACCATCCCAGCAACTCATCAGCCTTCCGGCCAGTGTCCGAACCCAGGGCACCCTGTTCAACCGTATTTAAAGATTGGAATTTGTATAAAGTTGCTTCCAAGTTTTATAATGCATCATTTTTCATCTTTCGTAATTAAAAGCAGCACAATGTGGTTGTCTCTGCATTTGGTGGTGTTTTTCTTCACGTGGGTGAGGGCTTGCTAGGGAGCCTTGCTCTCTCTCACCTCCTGCTCGGCTCAGCTGGGATTGGGGGGGGGGGGGGCAGGCCCTGCAGCAAGTCAGACTGTCCTGGAGGAACACTCAGTTCCCTTAGTGGGAACTGACCCAGCCCTCTCCCACCATCGGGGCACCTACGCCCTCCTCTCAAGGCTCTCATCAGACTACGGGAGACTTTATCTCCTCCCATCCAGGCCATAAGGGCCAGCTCCCTGCACGTCTCACCTCCTCCCCATCCCATCCTTCTGCCTTATGAGATCCCATTTCCACGTCAATCTGACATTCCAGGGCCTCCTACATAGCCCTCTCTGATGGCGCCTCCCCATCAGCCTGTGAAGATGCCCAGTCTCCTTCCTCAGAACAAACAGCAGACACCTCTTCTCCACACCCCCTCCCCCACCCACTACCCCTCATGCCACAGCCCTGTGTCCTGATTAGCTCCCTGATTCCCTCCTCTCCTGCCTCTGTCCAAGGCCGTTTGATGTCAGCCACATCCTGTGACCCTTCCAGACACAGAAGCCCTTTTGGCCACTCCTCCCTCCAGAATCCTCTCCGGCTCCAGTAAGGCTTTTCTCCATATTCTACCACCCAAGCCATGCCTGTCTCCTACCTTCCTCCCCATCCACCATCCCAAACCACCACCTCCAGCCCTCCAAGGACAAGACCCTCATGCTTGGCACTCTCTGTACCTGCCTGTCAGCCAGGACTCAGGCCCACTCCACACCTTGTTCTCCGGAGATCCGGGTCCACCTGCAAGCAGTTGACATCCAGCTTCTCCAGAGGACTCCACACTCTGCAAGCACAGGGGCCTGTTGACGTGAATGCCACTTCCCCAGCACATGGCACACAGTAGGCTGGAAAACTGCAGATTCTTTCTCTGTTGACAGCAGCTTCCCTCCTTCAAAGCTCAGCCCCCACCACTACCACCATCATCAAGCTGGAGACCAGCTGTTCTCCAAACACCTCCTCCTCTTCCACACCCCCTACCCCCTCCTCCTCCACACCCTCCTCTTCCACAGCCCCCTCCTCCTCCTCCACACCCCTCCTCCTCAACACCCCAACCCCCTCCTCCTCCACACGCCCCTCCTCCACACACCCCCACACCCCCTCCTCCACGCCCCCTCCTCCTCCACAACCCCCTCCTCCTCCACACCCCCCACACCCCCTCCTCCATGCGCCCTCCTCCTCTACACCCCCTCTTCCACACCCCTCCTCCTCAACCCCCCTTCTCATCCCCCTCCTCAACCCCCTCCTCCTCCACACCCCCCTCCTCAATCCCCTCCTCCACATCCCTCCTCCTCAACCCTCTCCTCCTCCACAACCCCCTCCTCCGCTCTCCCTGGTTCTGCAATGGCCTCATATCCAGCGCTGTCCTCCTCTCTTGCCCTATGGGCAACCTTGGCCTCCCTTCAAATATTAGCAGAGGGATACATTTTCCTTCACCTATGTGCCTCAGTGACCTCATCTATAAAATGGGACAATAAGCAGTTGCATTTCATGGAACTGTGAGGGTGATGTGAAGCTACACAAGTCAAGCTCTTAGAATTGTGCCCTGCCCATAATACTCAGTAAATGTTCATTATTAGCAACACTTAACTCTTTGTTGCATGAATCTGCCATCTTTTCTTTTCTTTTTTCTTTTTCTTTTTTTTTTTTTTGAGATGGAGTTTCACTCTTGTTACCCAGGCTGGAGTGCAATGGCGCGATCTCGGCTCACCGCAACCTCCGCCTCCTGGGTTCAGGCAATTCTCCTGCCTCAGCCTCCTGAGTAGCTGGGATTACAGGCATGCGCCACCATGCCCAGCTACTTTTTTGTATTTTTAGTAGAGACGGGGTTTCACCATGTTGACCAGGATGGTCTCGATCTCTCGACCTTGTGATCCACCCACCTCGGCCTCCCAAAGTGCTGGGATTACAGGCTTGGGCCACCACGCCCGGCCAAATCTGCCATCTTTTCAAACACAGAATACTCGAATCTTTAAAAGTACTGAATTTGTTTTCAAATATTAACTCTTAGGTCTGGGACGAATGATTGCAGATCTTATTTTGGGCCAGACACAGAGGCTTATGCCTGTAATCCCAGCACTTTGGGAGGCTGAAGCTGGAGGATCACTTGAGGTCAGGAGTTTGAGACCAGCATGGACAACATGGTGAAACGCTGTCTCTACTAAAAATATAAAAATTAGCTGGGTGGGCATCTGTAATCTCAGCTACTGAGAAGGCTGAGGCAGGAGAATCGCTTGAACCCAGATGGTGGGGGTTACAGTGAGCAGAGATCGCGCCACTGCACTGCAGTCTGGATGACAGAGTGAGACTCTAAAAAAAAATTTTTTTTTGGTCTCTTTTCCCTAATGAGTGCTGTATGGCAGGCAGGTATGGAAATTGGGTTTTACAGTGAACCAAATAGATGCTGTTATGTCCTGATATGGACACTAGATGGAGCTGCAACTATACGAGTGGCTCTTAGGACCCAGAACAGGCCAGAGTACCCCGGACCCCTCAACTTCAGCCTTTCAACTGGGCTGGCAGTGGTGCTGGCTGGAATTGAATCCTGTGATATGGAATACTAAGTATCCTTAGTGACCACCGGACTACCAGACACTGCACCATCAAAAGCGTTCAAACCACAGCGACTCCGTCTTGAACAGGGGCTGTGGGTAAACTGAGGCTGAGCCCTACTGGGCTGCATTCCCAGGATGTTAGGCATTTGAAGTCACAGGACGACAGCAAGTCAGCCCAAGACACAGGCCACAAAGATGAAACAGATAAAACAGGATGCAATAGGCCGGGCACGGTGGCTCACGCCTGTAATCCTATAGCACTTTGGGAAGCTGAGGCAGGCAGATCACGAGGTCAGGAGATCGAAACCATCCTGGCCAACACGGTGAAACTGTCTCCACTAAGAAAAAAAATTAGCTGGGTGTGGTGGCGCACACCTGTAGCCCCAGCTACTCGAGAGGCTGAGGCAGAATTGCTTGAACTCAGGAGGCGGAGATTGCAGTGAGCCGAGATCGCACTACAGCCTGGGTGACAGTGTGAGACTTTGTCTCCAAACAAACAAACAAACAAACAGCAACAACAAAAACGGGATGCAATAAACCAGCCAAAACCCAGATGACGACAGTGACCTCTGGTTATTGTCTCAAAACAAACAAACAAACAAACAAACAACAAAAAAAAAAAACGGGATGCAATAAACCAGCCAAAACCCAGATGACGACAGTGACCTCTGGTTGTCCTCATGCTCATGCTGCACTAGTTATAATACATTAGTTGTTGTAAGACACTCCTACCAGCGCGTGACAGTTCACAAATGCCATGGCAACGTCCGGAAGTTACCCTATATGGTTTAAAAGGAAGAGGAACCCTCAGTTCCAGGAAATTCCCACCTCATTCCGGGAAACTCATAAATAATCCACTCTTTATGGACCCCATGATCAAGAAATAACCATGAGCCTATGAAGTTGAGCTGCCATGCCACAGAGGCAGCCCCTTTTTTATTCCATTACTTTCTCAATAAACTTGTTATCACATTATCAGCTCATTCTTGAATTCCTTCCTGCATGAAGCTGGGAACCCATGCGGCCTTCCATGCTGAACCCTGTGACAGCACCACCTTACATGAACCTGAAAATAAGGCCAGGTACAGATGACTTTTTTTTTTTGAGAGACAGAGTCTCAGGCTAGAATGCCAGGCTGGAGTGCAGTGGCATGATCTTGGCTCACTACAACCTCCACCTCTCGGGTTCAAGTGATTCTCTTGCCTCAACCTCCTGAGAAGCTGGGATTACAGGTGCCCGCCACCACACCCAGCTGATTTTTGTATTTTTAGTAGAGATGGGGTTTCACCATGTTGGCCAAGCTTGTCTCGACCTCCTGACCTCAGGTGATCCACCTGCCTTGGCCTCCCAAAGTGCTGGGATTACAGGCATGAGCCACCACATCCAGCCAAGGATGACTTCTTGAGTTTTTATAAAGGCTCTGTCACCCAACTAAACAGTGGAAGACTCAATGGGCCTGATGTCAAGGCCTCCTGACACCACCGGCCCAGCACCCAGGGCTCCAAAACGCGACCTTCAGCGTCTGCTCACAAATTCCCCTCCCCTGTGCCCCTAGCCCCCGACCACCAAGGAGATGAACCACACCCCTTACCCTGTGGAGGGGGGTTCTGAACAGCCCCTGGAAAGAGTCCCCATAGATCTCAGTAAGATAGAGGCCTGGCAAAGGAACACTTTTTTTTTTTCTTTCCAGAAATGTATTTTCATTTTTTAAAAAAGCTTTGCTCTGATAAAAATAGTGCATGTTCATTATAAGAAATCCAAGTAACACCAAAGAGTACCAAAAACAAAAATGTTACGTGGTCCGGAAACCCAGCACCCCCAGAATAATCACGGCTGACACCCAGAGAACACTGATGGGACATCTCTATGCACATATTCAGAGAAAAGGATTTTTTTTTTAACCCAAATGGGCTCATACAATACATACGTACTTAAATTTAACAGAAATTGAGTAAGTTTTTTAGAGAAAGTGCCGTACTTAAATTTAACAGAACAAAAGGCAACTTAAACCTAACTCAAGAAATTACCAAGCTGCAAATGCTGCTGCTGCTCCTGGTTTTAAATTATCTCCCCAAGGGAAAGAAGACTATGAAGCAGCTGGATTCATTCTTTCAACATGTTTCAGCTATAGACGGCATCGCTTGACAACCGATGATTTCAGATAAGGAAATGAGCTCACCACTTCCTAGCTCCTCCCCCGCCCCCACACTTTGTGAGTCCGTATTTTCACATCGTCATCCTGTCCTGGCACCATCGTTCCCACTATTGTTTGGCCTGTTCCCTGGGTGTGGAGTCCCTGTTCCACTACCTGTCCTTCTAGAATATGGGTTTTTCCATTCTTGGGTTGTTTTCCTTCACCTTGTGGCTACCTTGACTTTGTTATCTAG